TATTATTATTCATTGATTCATTCATTATTTACTTAGTTATTATTTAATCATCATTTATTTTATTTTCATGCTATTATTTATTTATTTTACGTTTGCTATTTGTCTTCAAGTTTGGTCCTCTTAATGTTTGCACGTTCATTCATCAATTCAATGACAAGTTGATTTTTTATTTGTTAATTCTTATCGTAATTTCATAGCATAACATATATCATAACACTAATTGCATTCTGTTCTATTTATTTTTTTATCTCATTAATGAACGAATTTAAAACCTTTCTGGTGACGTTTTCTTATCATCTCTTTCCAGAAAGATATAGTTACTAAATCATTACTTGTACTGTTATTATATTTATTTTCATTATTATCATTATCTTTATTGTCTATTTATTATTATTGTTGTTATCATTATTATTTACCATCATTATTATTATCATTATCATTATCATCATTTGTACTGCTATTGTTATCATTATCATATATTTATTACTAATATTATCTTAATTATTACTGTCATCATGATTACTATAATTGTTATAATAATTATTATCCTTAATATCATTACCTTCATTATTATCATTAATATCATTACCTTGTCATTGCTATCGCTATTTCTATCATTATCATTATTGTTATTATTATTATTATTAATATATATATATTTTTTTTTTGCTCTTACTATTATCATCTTCATCACTACTATTATTATTACTACTGCTACTACTTTTATCAATATTATTACCATTATCGTTACTTTGATTATTATTATCATTATCATTACTATTATCATTATCATCATCATTATTATTATCGCTATTTCTATCACTATCATTATTGTTATTATTATTATTATTATTGTCTTTTTTTTTTTTGCTCTTACAATTATCATCATCATCATCACTATTATTATTATTACTACTGCTACTACTTTTATCCTTATTATAACCATTGACGTTACTATTATAATCATTAATATTATCATTGTGACTATCATCATCATTATCATTTATGATTATTATTATTATCATTATTATAATTATTATTATTATTATTACTATTATTATTATTATTATTATTATTATTATTATTATTCCTATTATTATTATTATTATTATTATTATTATTATTATTATTATTATTATTATTATGGTTACTATTATTATTATCATTATTGTCATTAACATAGTTATTATCATCCTTATTGTTATTATGATTATCATTACTGTTATCATCATTATATTATTATTATTATATAATTATTATTACTTTTATTATTGTTATTAATATTAATATTATCATTACTACTACATCAATATTTTGGATACTATTGTTATTGATATAGTTATCATTATTATTGTTATTTGTAGTAGCAATCTTAGTAGTAGTGTGATTATTATTATTATCATCACTATTATTATTATTATCACTATTATTAATAACATCATTATTATTATCATCATCATTATTGTTATTATTATTATTATTATTATTATTATTATTATTATTATTATTATTGTTGTTGTTGTTGTTGCTATTATTATCATTGTTATTGAAATTCTTATTATAATTGTTATCATTATCATAATCATTATTTTTTCTAGTCTTATTGTTGTTATTATTATTATTATTATTATTATTATAATTATTGTTATCATTACTAGTATGATGATGATTCTTATTGTTATTACCATTATTGTCGTTATTTTTTTATTATTATCATCATTACTATTATTATTATCATTATCATTCTTATTATTACTACTAGTAGTAGTAGTAGTAGTAGTAGTAGTATCATTAATAATAATAATAGTAATAATGATAATAATAATAATAATAATAATAATAATAATAATAATAATAATAATAATAATAATAATAATAATATTATTATTATCATTATTATTATTATTATCATTATTATTATTATCATTATCATTTTCATTATTATTATTATTATCATTATCATTTTCATTATTATTATTATTATCATTATTATTTTCACTATTATTATTATTATCATTATTATTACTATCATTATTATTATTATTACTATCCTTATTATCATCATTATTATGGTTAAAGTTACTCTCATTATTATTATTTACACTATCATTGTTACTATTATTGCCAGTATTATTCCCATTATCCTTATTACCATTATTATCATTATTATTGTTGTTACTATTGTTATCATTTTGACTATTACCATCATTATTGTTATTATTATTATCATTGTTATTGTTATCATTGTTATTATTTTGTTATTATCATCGTCATCATCAATATTAACATTAATTAACATCAATCTATTATTGATATCATTATTGTTATTATTATTATTAGTGTTATTATTATTATTAGTGTTATTATTATTATCATTACTATTATTAATGTCATTATTATCATTATTGTTATTACCATCAATATTATTATTACTATTATCATCATCATTATTATGATAATAATACTAATACTAATACTAATACTAATAATATTAATAATA